GTAAAAAAGAGTAAAGATAAAATCCTTCAGTTGTAGTTACAACTAAAACAAAATGTTAAACCTGGATTGGAACATTGTCAGAGAAGAAGTGTCACATTATCAGGAAGACTGTTCTAGATTTTAGCTGCATAAATCTGAAATGCTGCATCCCCATGTTTAGCTCTGACTCTGGGCACCAGCAGGAGGCCATTCCCTGGGCTTCTCAGAGTCTAAGAAGGAGTCCAAGTTGGTTCTTAAGACACTTACATGTCTCAGATGTACTTTGGTGCGAGACCATGGAGAGACTTGTACAAATGCAGAGCTGCTTTTAAGTCTATTCTCTGAGCCACAGAAAGCAGAGACCTGAGGACTGGACTAATGTAATGGTCCTTCCTGGTGATAGTCAGGACTCGAGCTGCAGATATATATATACTGCAGATGTAAGTGGTGATTTTTGATCAGTGCAGAAGATTCTTAGTACATCTACGGCAGATTTATGACGGATCTGAAATGTGGGCGGGACCAAGAGCATGTATGAAGCCTCAATAGATTTTTTTTCAACGCACAAGACATAAATCAGTTCAAGCATCAATGAACAAAGACATTAAACTATTTATAGCAATTCTGGAAGCCATCTGAGACTCAGTGTGTGGCGCATTGTTTAAGAGGGATGAAAAAGACCGAAGTCAAGAGCTGAAAATAACTAATTATTATCAAGTTTGCTATTCAAACTGTGTGTTTGTGTTCCAGGTTCAAGACATTTCTGCTTTTTTCCAGACAAATTAAGTTAATTTAAAGTTTTTTCATGTTTCTCTTTGTTTGAACACAAATTCCCGCATGTTGTTTTTGTTAATTTAGTGCAGCAACGGCATCTCTCTTTGGGCCTAATGGTCATAAGTTCAATCTCCCTACCAGACCTGCTCCATCAAATCTCACTGGCGTCTGGTGTCGTTGTGACCCTGGGCAAGACACTTTGCCTGAAGCCCCAGCTGAAAAACCAATGCTGATCAGAGAAGAACAACCATCATCCTGTGGACCTACCACCTGCAGGAGGATCAGAGAGGACCAGCACCTGCAGGAGGATCAGAGAGGACCAGAACCGGCAGGAGGATCAGTGAGGACCAGCACCCGCAATAGGATCAGAGAGGACCAGAACCTGCAGGAGGATCAGTGAGGACCAGCACCTGCACGAGGATCAGAGAGGACCAGAACCTGCAGAAGGATCAGTGAGGACTAGAACCTGCAGGAGGACCAGTGAGGGGCTGGAGCTGTGAGGATGGATTAATAAAAGTTATGAATATGACTGCATAAAAATCTTTTCTCATTATTATTTAATAATGTCCGGTTTCTAGTATGTTTTTTCTAAGAATCAGTAACTGTGATAATTAACTGTGATATTAAATTATGATTATTTAAGGCATAATCAGTTGGCCCAAAACTCAACCACATTTATTGGTCTCTGTCCCTTATGGACCAATGGCTCTTTGTGTTTTCTGAAACTAGAAAAACAAAAACGCACACCAAGTTCTTCTCATGAGGTGCATGTGCTGGAGCAGAAATTAAATGTATTGGAAAATACACAGCACACTCGGATAGATGTCCAAAAGATCTAGTATTTATTACGTTTCGGCCTTAGCCTTTGTCAGATCATTTTTATCTTATTCATTTGGATCACAATATACAAAATGGTGCCAACCCAGGTGCTATAAGCCCCTTCTTCTTTGTGTTTTCTACCATTGCATCTCTTGTGGTTGAACTGTGTTGGCGAACGGTTGTACAAAGTCCTCTGAGATAACTACTGTAAGTAAGTTAGTAAGTAAGTAAGTTTTTATTTATATACCGCCTTTTCACTGCAGATCTGAGTCTCAAAGCGGTTTACAATTGTTAATTTTGGGCATTTGTCTCTCACTCCACACAGAGATGGGAGCGGGGCCAGTACAGGAGGCGCATGCTAGAACTATTGGACATATTTTTAGTGGTAGGGGAAACCGGAGTACCCGGAGGAAACCTACGCAGACATGGGGAGAACATGCAAACTCCACGCAGAAAGGCCCTGGTCCGGCCGGGATTTGAACCCAGGACCTTCTTGCTGAGAGGCGAGAGTGCTATCCACTCAGCCACCGTGCCGCCCAAACTGCCGTACTGTTGTGATATAGGGCTATACAAGAATACATTGAATTGAAAAACACATAATTCACTGTATTTTTGTTTTATTTAGCGTCATGGTTTACACCGATCAAGAGTTGGTACAAATATGAGAGCCCAAAACTCAAGCATGTTACCTTAAAATGAACCATTTTCCCTCCCCTCCTTATTTAAATCTGACAATCGTGAAAGCCTAAGCAGACACCTAATGAAAAACCTTTGGAAGCCTCACTTTCGCCTCAGGTTAATTGGCTCACAGTGATCCACATTTCCCATGTGCTCTTTGTTTCTGAGCACAGAGCGTCTGACCTGCGCAGCGCTGCGGTGTCAACAGCGGCTGAAGGAAACAAGCAGTTGCTCTGAGCTCTTTCAAAGTGTGCCAAAAGACATACACCTATTATCAGAGAACGGACAGGCCTGGAGATGAGCTGCAGCACTGTGTTTTCCCACCCAGATGGGGCCATTAAAGGTGCAGGGGAGGACAAACGCACAGCCGTGTTATGGGGTAAAGAATGTTAATCTTCTCCTCACCTGTCTTTGATGATCGCAGCGTGGGCCGCCTCTGTGGGCCGCCTCTGTGGGCCGCCTCTGTGGGCCGCCTCTGTGGGCCGCCTCTGTGGGCCGCCTCTGTGCTTCTGTGGGCCGAAGCAGGATGAGACTGTATCATAATAATAAAAATAATGTATGTAAAATTTGAACAAAAATGTATTTCATAACTTCAAATATGAAGAGAGAGATAATACACAGAAGCAAAAGATTAGTTTAAACACATTTTTCAAGTTTCCAGCAGGCAAAACGAGTTGTGGGTGGTCCCAATCTATATAATATTATATATATATATATATATTTTACTTTGCCCCCAGACAAAATGACTTTGTTTCTGTTTCTGGTGTCTGTATTCTGGTACTGTCTTAGATCCAGATATAACCCCTACAATCAGACCAATCCGATGCTTTCTGTTCCTCTCATGTTGTGGATGTGTGCAGAGTGGTCAGGTTTCTGCAGCAGAAGAGGAAGTGTCCGCTCAGCAGGTTCAGGTCTGTATCGATCGTGTGGTTTAGATTTCCAAGATATGTTTAAAATGAGCGTATTGATTTGGACCTGCAGTATTCTACGTTCACAATGACCTACGGAAGGATCTGAAAGTGACACCATTCAAACACAATTTGGCAGATGCTTCATTGTATCTTTTAGTTAATAGTACAGTTAATAGTCCCACCCCCTATGAAGCGTGTAATTCCGATCCTCTGAAGACAAAGTTGTGATGCCTTTATATTCAGGAAAGTAAACCCGGGGGGAGGGGCTGGAGGCCGGTAGTCAGAGGACAGAGAGCAGTGTTTGGCAAGTTACTTCAAAATAAATACAGAAAACATATATTGTTTAAGCAGAACTAAAGCTGCCAGGTCGATTCCATCCTGCTCCCCCCTCAGGCAAAGGCCGGAAGTGCACCTGCAGCAAATCCAGACAAAATGGTTACATGGAAAGTAGCTTCTTTTTAATTTTCTCTGCAAACTTCTACTTAAAAATGAGATTGGATTACAGCTCGATGAAGTCTAATGACCTTCTTTATGGACCTTATCATCTTCAGCAGCGCGTCTGGTTAAAAGCTGCCGTTAACCAGTGTCTGAAGCTCTTTCCTCACTGTGAAAGCACTGAGGAAAGCGATAATTAATTCCAGCTCTCACTACACTCAGTGATTTGTAATGTATCTGCTCAAAACCATTTCAATAATATTTGTCTTTCCCTTCATGAGAATACAGATAACTACCTTTTTGGCAGTTTGGTCAAGTCTGATTAGAAACAATTCTTTTTATTTCCCTGAATCCTGTTTATTACCTATTTTACAAATAAATACTAAGAGTTTATACTTTTCTCCCTTTATTTCATGGATAAGCTGTGTTGTGAGTAAGAATAAATCCTTGCGAGACACAAAATCAAAATCAAATTCACTACAACCACCACTTTAGAGGACGACCACAGATGTCCACACCATGAGAAGAGTGTCATGATGTGGATTTTGTTATTTTGGTATTTGGTTTTATTTTTATATTTCTCTGTGGTTTTGCTTCCTGTCCTGTTCCCCTGTCGATTGTCTGTCCCGCCCTCATATGTTTCACCTGTCTATCATGGATCTATTATAATAACTGGATAGGGTATTACTAGCTTACAGCTGTCCCACCCATGGGCCCGTGGTACTGCAGACAAAATTCATATGGGCTACCCAGAAAAAAGTCCCATAGAACTCATTGTAAATTAAAACAGCTCGACCTCAGCTGACAGAGAACCTACAGCTTTCATGAAGGGATTTCAGTGTCCCTTGTAATCCTGATCTTTTAAAAAACAATAAATCCTTCAGTTTTCTTTAAATCCACACTTTAATTCAACAAACTCTGCTCGTTTTCTTCTCGCTCTGGCTCCGCTCTAGCTCTGCTCCGATTGGTCAACGCGTCCTCTGCGCAAAACTGGGAGGGCAAGACGATGCCAAAATATGAGAGAGTTCCACTAATCTTTCGGTCTCCATGACTGTCCAATGCGTCACTGATCACAAGATATTGATTTGAATAGGCGCCATTTTGGATCACCGGGGCTTGGTGTCTGTACCTGTGCTCCTCTCCCCTTGTTGCTGGTCTTTGCCTGTCTATGTTTCTATATTTTCAGTCCCAACTTGGATAGGAATGCCCATTTCCCCATGACCGTAGTTCTTCCCTGTCTAAACATCATTGACCTCTAACTTAAAGATCAAATTCCAAATACTTTTAGAACTTGCATTTGAACTGCATTTTTACTCCACTCCTTTAGAATAGCATACATGTCTCCGACCTTTATGAGTGTATATAATTTACTTTAAAATCTCTGTAGGGCTTTAAATTGTCAGGCTATAGCCCCATATAAGCGTCTATAAATATCCTGCTGAAAAGTGACTGACGCGAGCGGTTAGCCTTCAGCGCTCCCAGATTATGTGGGATCTGGGGCGCGTGCACACGGATCAAACAGGTGTTGAACCGTGCAGAGTGTGAAACGCCCAGCCCTCCAGACTGCATTAGCACTCCGGCTCCCCACTGCGGCACATCTAAACTGGGCCTGCCGCGCACCGGGACTGGGAGCAGCTGCAAGGTCAGAATACTCCCCATGGACAGGTGCAGGAGTCTGGGCAAAGCTGAGCTGAGGGCGCTGGTCTGAAGAGGACACCTGAAGGCGAAAGCGATATGAAAACGTTTTAGCAGCGACGAGAGCTCTGGGAACATGAGTGTGGAGAGCTGTTAATAAAAGCAAATGTGTTTCAAGTCTTCCTGAATATGTGAACCAGGCTTTTACTCTGACAATGTTCAAAACCAGGTTAAAACAGTTCTTTTGTGCTGCAACAACTAAAGGACTGTGTCTTTACTCGTCTTAACTGTCTACAGCATCACATGTGATGCCGATGTCCAAACCGATCCAGAAAGTGCCGCTGTGGTTGCAGGTTTTCTATCTGAAACAGGAGGAGCAGAGCAGACTCCACCCATTTTCTCAAGTGAGTTCCGTCTTAACAAGTCTTAACTCAAAAAATAATCCACCAAATGGTTTAGGAAACCATTAAAGGGTTAATGCACTGTGGTGATTGATGTCCAAATCATTTTGGTCTGGGGCAAGTTTAAAAACATAAGAGCCAAAGTAAAAAAAATGTTTTCTTTCATTATCATTTTATTTTTGTATTTTGTAAAATTGATTTTATTTAACATTAATTTGGATTAATTTAACACTTTTTTACTTTTAACCTAACTTCTTATTACATGTTGGTCAACCTTTTACAACAGGTTAAATCATAAGGTTGTTTTCTCAAGAAAATAAGCTTTAAAATGAAGTATAACATACCCCTTTCCCCTTAGAAGCCCCTTTCCATCTATGCAGCAGGTAACTGTGATAGAGGATACTTGAATATCATTTCAGGGGCCTCTGAGTTGGCCCACGGGTCTGAGTTTATCTTAATGGTTGTTTTTAATGCCCTGTGTGTTTTTAATGTTTATGATTTAATGTCGTATGTGTTAGGGTCTGTGAAGCAGCACAGCATCTAAACTGGGCCCACTGCGCACCGGGACTGGGAGCAGCTGCAAGGTCAGAATACTCCCCATGGACAGGTGCAGGAGTCTGGGCTGAGAGCGCTGGTCTGAAGTGGACACCTGAAGGAGAAAGCGATATGAAAATGTTTTAGCAGCGCAGCGTGTCGTTCATTCAGAGGATGCACGGCAGCGACGAGAGCTCTGGGAAAGAAGATCTGCTGGAAGTGGGCGACTGGGAGCGCTGGGAACATGAGTGTGGAGAGCTGTTAATAAAAGCAAATGTGTTTACAGATTAGCGTTACGTCGTATCCATGGTTACAGGCGAGCTTTGAAGTCCAATCCAACCGTAACTTTACTGACAGGATTTATTTCTTGTGGTGATATTTTCAGTGGATTGAATGAGTCGTGTTATAGAAATCTGACCTGTATGATTAGATCTGTTTTAACATGAAACACTTCAGAGTAAACTATTAACTAATCCTCATGAAGGAGATGTTTGAGGGAAACTACAATAGCTGTATAGAAAGTGTCCTGGATTGAGCTAAATATGAGCCAGAATCGTTTCTTAGGTTGTGTCCAAGTCGTGGAATTCTAGTTAAGCTGAAGGGCAGGTGGCTCCACCAGAATAAGATTCTTTGGAATGTTGTGATGTCACATGAACATTGGTTATTGGCTACTTTCCATTTGTAGTCTCTAGGAACATAAGATCTGGAAGAAACAACTACTAATGTAGCCACAGTTAATGCAAGAAAACCGATATGCGCCATCGCCCCTCCCACCACCCCCAACCATTCACTAATATTTTATCAAACTAAACAAAAACATTGACATTCATTTTGTGTTTTTGACCTTATAAATGCCTTCTGTCTGCTACGGCGACACAGTGGCTCTCGCTTGTACGTCTAGCAAGAAGGTCCTGTGTTTGATTCTACCTCCAGGCCTTTCCGTGTGGAGTTTGCATGTTCTCCCTGTGTCTGCGTAGGTTTCCTCCGGGTGCTCTGGTTTCCTCCGGTTTCCCCTGCCTCGAGAAACATGTAAAATAGGCCTGAATGTTATGAGAGAACGGATGGTTAGAGGTTCTGATGTGTCATTGTGTTTGGCAATACATAGAGCCATTGGTCCATTAGCGGCAGATGACCAATGTCCATAAATGTCAATGTGCCCTAGGGCAACTGTGGCTGCACTAGTACCACACCACTGTGTATGGAGTGGATAAATAATGACATGTGAAGCGTCTTTGACTGTCCAAAACATAGTCTACAGCTATAGAGAACTGATGCATTATTATTCTTATCATTATTATTACAAAAATAATAAATTATGTAAAAATCTGATGGATCCAATAGAAAATCCAGCTGTTTGCTCACTCTGTTCTCATGTTCTTTCACTGATGAACTGTTTCCTCCTGACCGCCACACAACAGGCTATTGTAAAACCATTGTTATCACCAAAACACACAACTTTGCACTCCATAATTTCACGATAACAGGTCAGTGCACACATGGTCCGGAGGTGCTGGTGACCCGTCGTGCTCTGCCGGTAACCCGACTCCAGAGGTGGCCCGTGTCAGAGCCCGAGCAGTGATTTATGAAGCCAGAGCCCAGCAGCAGCCGCCGTGTGGCCCCCAGCCCGAGACAGACGCAGAGGGTCAAAGCTCAACTACACCGTGAAATATGTCCAGACGTGGGAGAGGTCAAGGCGTTTGCACCAGCAATACCAATTGTATGTGAGGATTCGATTGTATTGCGAGACTTGGGCCATCCATCCATCTTCTTCCCCTTAGTCCAGGGGTGTCCAAACCTTTTAGAAAGAGGGCCACTTTAGTTCACCAGACTAGTCCAGGGGCCGACATCACTGACTGAAAAACGCTCTTGACTGGCATCGGGCTGTTCTGAGCTTTATGATGATCTAAAACAGAGCTGAAGTTGGCTGAATGACAAATGTTTTTAATCTCACCAGCTACATTAGAAACATTATGGGAAGTGACAAAATCAAAAGCCATATCATGTGCAAATAAAGTCAACGACGTACTGGGCTTTAGAACAAGGTCTATGTTGGCTGAGCTGAAGTTGGCATGTTGAAGTTGCCATGCTAACCCAAAGACTACTTTGGGTTAGCATGGCTGAGGGCCACATAAAATGACACTGAGGGCCGCATTTGGCCCCCGGGTCTGAGATTGGACATACCTGCCTTAGTCCATTTCTGGGTCGAGAGGGTGGCAGTAGATACAAGGGGCTGCTCTGGCGAAGAGAGCATAGCCTTGATCTCTCAGCGGGGCTCATAATTGAATATTATTGCGATTCTTAACATTCTGTATTGTGATCCAGCAAGTCTTGCAATTCTATTCTGCGATATATTGTGATTCATGTTCCTCAGATTATTCAAAAAAAAAGGAAAAAGAAGACTCAACTCAAATGTGACATTTATTATGGTGTATACATTAACTGAAGCAAACACTGAGGAGGGTAGTGAAAATCATTAAAACATAAGCTAGCCAGAGCCAATTTCTTTTTTTAAGGGCATTAGATGACGGCATTAGCTTTACGGCCGTGACAGAGTCGTGTTGCTAAGACCCCACAAGTGAAGGCATTTTATGAATCTAACCTTATAAGGTTCATATCTGGATTTACAAAGACAATATCACAATGAAAACACCAGGTTTACAGAATCACAGAGAGCGCTAAATCCCGGCTAACAGAGCCCGTTCCGTCGCCATATATTACGATTTCCAAACTTTACTCTTACTTACTCATTACTCTTATGAATCAGACTCTTCTGTGTCCACACCAGAGGAAATGGGCAACAGCAAAGCGCTAAAACATGTGGAGCAGGGTTCTGAGCAGGTGAAATGAGCGGAGTGGTCTCAGGAGATGCATCCTGTTGGAGCAGGGCATCTGTAATGTTTATTACACTCAGAGACAGACAAAGGAAACAAAGGCCTCTTGTACATGTGTTTTATTGGTTTTTGTAGAAGTGGTGCCGAAGAGTCGTGCCTCAGGGGGTTGGCCTGAACATCGGGTTCTTCATGTTCTTCTTCTCTTTACACAAACTTACAAGGATGCACTTTTAACGGCAGCACTTTTGTCCTCATCGTACTGGACCTGTCGAACTGTCTCCCCCCGGCCTGGACTTGAGGACTGCACCTCCTCCTCGCCTGGGAGCCGCCTCAATCCTGCACTGCATGGCCTCGGTCCTCGTTCTACAGCCTGAGTCCTGGATCTACAGCCCTACAGTGGATCCCTCCCCCCTTGCATGGTCTCCCCTCGCCACTCTTTCTTTTATTGCCACTTTTTTATTGTACATAATTATATCCTGCACAGACTCAACCTTTAACATGTTTGCACACTTATGTATTTTTGCACAATCTGAGTCACGTAGATTTATATACATTTTTCCAGTATTACATTAATAAAAATCGATCTTATTTTATCTTATCATGTCAGCTATGGTTTCCTCCAGGTGCTCCAGTTATCAAAGTACTTGTACAATAGGTCACTGTGAGTGGAGTGAATAGAAACGACTGGTATTACTGAATGTGTAAAGTGCGTGTGTGTGACCATAGTCTTTGAGATGTGCTATAAAGATGACTTATTTACCTTGCTCTGTTTGTCAATTTAATTTAATTTAATTTTCATTCCTTTTTTTATCCATTTCTGGGTCAGGGGGGTGGCAATCAGGGCTGCACCCAATTCACAATGCACCAGTCCATCCCTGAATCCTCCTGCAGGTGGTGGGTCCACGGGAAAAATAGGTGTTAGTAGTCAAGGCTCAAATGTGTCGAGACTAGATTTCAAAGCCTACAATGAAGGTTGCTCTAGTGCACAGAGATATCTGAGAGAGATCAGAGAGAGAGACCAGAGAGACACCAGAGAGAGAGACCAGAGAGACACCAGAGAGAGAGACCAGAGAGAGACCAAAGAGAGATCAGAGAGAGAGGCCAGAGAGACACCAGAGAGAGAGACCAGAGAGAGATCAGAGAGAGGTCAGAGAGAGAAACCAGAGAGACCAGAGAGAGACCAAAGAGAGATCAGAGAGAGAAACCATAGAGACCAGAGAGAGAACGGAGACAGATCAGACAGAGAGACCAGAGAGAAACCAGACCAGAGAGAAACCAGAAAGAGAGACCAGAAACCACAGAGAGAGACTGGAGACAGATCAGAGAGAGTGACCAGACAGAGACCACAGAAAGAGACCAGGGAGAGAGACCAGAGACAGAAACCAGAGAGAGACCAGCGAGAGGGACCAGATAGCGACCACAGAGAGAGACCACAGAGAGAGAAACCAGAGAGAGAGAGACACCAGACAGGGACCAGAAAGAGAACGAAGACAGGTCAGACAAAGAGACCAGAGAGAGACCACAAAGAGACCAGAGAGAAAAACCATAGGGAGAACCCAGAGAGAGAGACCACAGAGAGTGACCGGAGACGGATCAGAGAGAGAGACCAGACAGAGATCACAGAGAGAGACCAGAGGCAGAAACCAGAGGGAGACCACAGAGAGAGAAACCAGAGAGAGGGAGAGACAACAGACAGGTACCAGAGAGAGAGACCAGAGAGAGATTGAAGACAGATCAGACAAAGAGACCAGACAGAGATCACAGAGAGAGACCAGAGACAGAAACCAGAGAGAGACCAGCGAGAGAAAGACACCAGACAGGGACCAGAGAGAGAGACCAGAGACCACAGAGAGTGACCGGAGACAGATCAGAGAGAGAGACCAGACAGAGACCACAGAGAGAGACCAGAGGCAGAAACCAGAGAGAGACCACAGAGAGAGAAACCAGAGAGAGAGAGAGACACCAGACAGGGACCAGAGAGAGAGACCAGAGAGAGATTGAAGACAGATCAGACAAAGAGACCAGAGAGAGACCACAGAGAGACCAGAGACAGACACCAGAGAGAGACCAGAGATAGTTCTGCACTTGAGGTTTACTTAAAATGCAAGTATGGGATGCTTGTGGGGTGATATCTGTTTTGATCTGTCTGTCTGGTCATCATCTTTCTCTCTGGTCCTCTCTGATGGTGCTCTTGTTACTAGTCCTGGAGGTCTCTGATGGTGTCTTACCTGTGTCTATTCTGGTCTAATATTTAACGGTGGTGTATGTATATGTATGTGGTGTCTGTGTAAAAGTATATGAACCTCTGTCCCAAGACACATTTCTCCTACAGGGAAAGACAATAGAGGAGTATCCTAACTTATCTTAAACTATTCCACACTTTTGAATAACAAATGCTGAGATCTTCTGTGTCAGGACTAGTTTTTTTTTTTTACGTGTGAACTCAGCCAGACGTGACGTACCATTGTATCACAGTTCGATCCTGTGCAAACACCCCCTCCCCTGTGTGTTTGCCCAAAGCACGGAGCAGGTGACGGTGGCAGCCGGGTTTCTCACACCCCAGAAGCAAAGTTTCTGTTTCTTTTTCTAACTGCTGTGAGAAATAAATGAGGTGCCATCTTTACAGCTTCATTCTGCTCATTCAAAGTTGGGCTGCAGCTGTGTGGGCAGACCAGTGGGGGCTGCTGCCACCTAGTGTTAGCAAAGAACAACTGGGAATTTGTTTTTTTAGATTTTAGATTTTTAGAATAGCTGTGCATGGTCAAAGGTGTAATCAGAGTACAGCACTGCATAGAATGATAAACTATGTCATAATTGCTTGAATCGACAATCAACATTCTGACTGTGGTAAAATACATATTTCAAATGGGAACAAGCCATTTAGTCTTATTTTACGAACTGTTGCTTTATTTTCTAATCCCAAGGAAGACATTTCTTGTGTCTTTTAAAAACAAGATCATTTTGCTTCATCCCATTGGCAAATTGTGTTTCAAAACAGTCACATTTGACCAAATTTGAGCAATTTTTAATTTTTGTTTTCATCACTTCTTGCAGTGAGAATTAAAAAGTATACTTTTTATTTACTTATTGGAATTGTTTCAAATTTGGAAGGTGGAAGGTGGAAGCCTTACCCTCAAAATTAATTTTTAGCTTGTGAGGAGCAGGAGCCCTTTGGTCCAATTTCTGGGAGTGTAGTACTTAGATCTGCCTTGAATTCGCTTTTTGAATCTAAAATGAAAATGAATAATATTTTATAATTTTTGCAAATAGAGTAAAATGTGCAATTTACTATAAGCTGTCATGCCAAAGAAAAATCCAAATATCCCCCAAATCGGATTAGCATCAGTTAAAAAATGGATGACCCTCATCAAGCAGCAGCTGTATGTTTGTAAAACCCTCACACTATTATTACACTATTCTAACCACCTGAATTCACCACTGCTGAAGTGAGACCAGAGAGAGACACCAAGAGCCAGCAGAGAGAACAGAGAGAGAGTGTGGGGAAACTGGCCTGAGTTTTGAAATGAAACGGCAGAACTCATATTAAAAGTGTAAATCAGAAGAAATCATTTTGACAAGAGCAACAGACAGTCCTGTCCCGTGGATGCATCTCCTCCTGATGAGATTCACCTCTGAGCTTCTAACATTGAGGCTCCGCCCACAGGGTTAGCTCATAAAACAAAATGACTGAGACACTTCTACAGGTATAAAATACATTCATGAAAAGTGGCATTAGAGGTGACAAAGTAACCTGCTTCGTTACAGAGAGACCAGAGAGAGACCGAGGTAGTCCTCACGGTCCACAAAAGACATCAACATTTTATTTTGATTTAAAAAAGCGGTGACCGTGATAATAGCGGATACACCCACATGCAACATCACACACACAAAATCGCACAAAAATTGATAAAACAGCGAGTCCACAAAAGGTGAAGCATTGTAGGGAGGGACCACAGGAAACTGAATCACATGCTGTTTATATCTTCATACAGACTCACCAGGTCCAGCTTAGAGCGCTCCATCAGCGGCGACAGATTGCGCATGACCTCGTTGGAGTTCTGTATCATTTCACAGTAACACAAAAAACAACAACGAGCAGAAATGTGAAATACAGCCGTGTGCGCGAAGACTAAAAACATCCTGAAAGCAACATGAGTGTGGGCTGTTGACTTTCCACTCACTCCCATGACTTCTGCAAAAACTTAATCTACGTCAACTCAGCTCTGATTCAATACTGCAATTTCAGAATGTGCCCTGAGTGTCACTTTATGTACTTTTGATTCTGTCACATATGTATATAATTGACACTATAAATAGAGATATATAGAGATGTATTGATATTTACTACTCTTATGAAGCATCAGTCCTCCATTGCGTGGCCTCGTTCTACAGCCTGAGTCCTGGATCTACAGCCCGTCCGTCTGTTGGGCACCCCAGAGGTTTCTCACCTTTCTCCCACTGGTTTTTGTTTTTAGAGTTGTTTCTGGCCGATGCAGGAGGGTCTAAGGATAATGGTGATGATCCAGAACACTCAATTTTCAACAACATTTATGGACATTGGTCTCTGCCCCCTAAGGACCAATGGCTCTATGTGTTTTTGTCATTGTATTTCTTGTGTTTGAAATGTTTGATTCTCATTAAAAAAGTCCTCAGAGATAACTACGGTTATGATTTAGGGCTACACCAGAGATATTTAAATTGCATTGAAATGAAAGCAGTTAGAGCGAGAAGCATTGCAGATACTGTATATTGTGTATGTTTTGTGCTTCTTGTATATTCTTACAACTGAGCTACAACATCCAAAATTCCCTTCTGTGGGACGAATAAAGGTTCTCTTATCTTATCTTCATCCTTTGCATCCAGAGCCAAAGAAACATTAAAGTCTGCAACCTCCCCTGTCTGCTTGTAATCCCCCTATCTACCATTTAAGAATGAGCTCCTTCTAAATCAGCCGTTCTTTCCTGCATGGCTGGAGTAAAGCATTCTGCAGGTTGTGTGTCCGGGCTTCCTCTTCTGTATCGATGGTACGTCTGGTTAGTTTCATATATTCAGGATTTCTGATGTACAATGAACAATTTGGATTTATAATACTACAGTCCTGTGATGCTGTTCTGTACATAAGTCATCTTTATTTATAAAGCAACTCTCAGACCAGAGTCACAAAGCATTTGCGCCCAAGACCTGTTCGACAGGAGAGATCTCCACAGAACACAGCTCTGTGAGGCTATGACAGCAAACATTGAATCAGACGAAGAAAGCACACACCCTTCTCTCCAATGAAAAAACCAAGCACACAGAAAGTGAAGAGAAGAGACTTTTTTCAGATGTAACTAAAATGAGGAGAGACATTTCTCACGGACTTATTCCTCAAATGACATATTAATAACTCACATTCCATTGTTCCCGTAGTATGAACAAGACCTGAGAGCCTTGAGTCCTCTTCTTGAGGAAGGACCTCAGAACCTTTATCCAGTGTGGAACTATGACCTTGGATTTGAAGTTGTTGATTCTCATCTAACAAATAATTAGATTTGTATATACTGTATCTGTAAACAATCCTTATAGAAGAAACTCTTAAAGAAGACCATGATGTATCTAAAATCTGCCTATAGTCATATTTAAACAAATTCCATACTGCCTGTTCCAAAACTATCAACAGTTCTCGCACGCACGGTGGCTGAGTGGATAGCACTCTCGCCTCTCAGCAAGAAGGTCCTGGGTTCGAATCCCGGTTGGACCAGGGCCTTTCTGAGTGGAGTTTGCATGTTCTCCCCGTGTCTGCGTAGGTTTCCTCCGGGTGCTCCGGTTTCCCCTACCACTAAAAATATGTGCAATAGGTCTGGCATGTGCCTCCTGTACTGGCACCCCCACTCCCAAAAATAACAATTGTAAACCGCTTTGAGACTCCGATGTGCAGTGAAAAGGCGGTATATAAATAAAGATTACTTACTACTACTACTACTTCTCCACAACCTTGACCTTCGCCTTCGCTGTGACTTATTCTTTGTCCAATAATTCTGCCCAAGAGGCTCTCTTATGTTCCTTGGCACAGTTCTTTCTCCGAACCGGTGTCAGACCAAACATTTTTTACAACGCACCGATTGCAGATGAGGGCAAGCAATTAAAAAAAGAAGTTTGAGTCTGAGCCGGCACCAAACCATTGGGGTAAGAGAGGAATTTACTGCCTGGGGTCAAAGGGCAGAGCGGCGCAGTGGTGAATATTTGAATCTGTTAAAGAGACTTATTGTGCAAAAACAACTTATATGAGAGTGCATTTATTAGCATATGTTTTTTGAGGGATTCAAGAAAGTTTGTGTAACCTTTAGTTTTCTGCATTTGCGTAGCCACTGTTAGGATACTGTTGTTATTACACAAGGAGACATTTCAGGGGACCCTCAGTAGTTGCAGAGAAGAGACATTTACATACAATCATATACACATAGGAACCATCGACCCTTCAGGAGCGGGATAACTATGGTCCATAAATGTTAATAATGTTGCGGATAAAAGAAGAAGGACCCAAAAGTATGATATAATTTAATATATTCCACAAAAAAGTAAAAACTGAAACCAGGAACAAGACACGGGGAAAAAACTAGAATGGACTGACAACACAAGACCTTCTGTCTTAATACACAGAAGGAGACACAATCAGGGCGGGGCAAACTATCAACAGGACAAACAGGAAAACTCAGAAGTAAAACTCAAACTCAAGAAGAGAACAAATGTATACACATAAAAAAAAAGGCCCCAAGTCCACACCATGACAAAATTATAACGGCTTATTAACCTCGCTTGCTCGGTCTGTACAGTGAAATATCAGACCGCGGCCTTAATGTACAGACCGAACCAGGCGAGCAAGCGAGGTTAATAAATGTTTTATTATATGACTATTTTTAATTTATGCAAATATCGATCTCCGACTTGGTTTTCCTAATCGTGTTTTTAGCTTTCTGGTCTGCAACGAAGTTGTCAATCTCATCTTGTCTGTTAGTTAGTTATTTTTTCTTCGTTATTTTCTGTAATTTCTTCCTCTGGCTCGCCAAACTCGTCCGGATAATAGAATTCACTGGGCGAATGCTCCCAGTTGTCGCCCATTATTTCCTTTTTACCGAGGAAACTCAGGAAAGATATCAATTGTGATACGCGCTGTTCGGACCAATTGTCATGGTAACGGTCTGAGATGGGAAAATATCAGACTGGTAATCAACCAATCAGAGCGCGCGTACGGTCCAAGTCATATAATAATGTCCCTTATTGTTGCAGTGAAATGGCTTAGGCCAGAGGAGCCCACATATCTCTGTGTGTGTGTGTGTGTGTGTCTGTGTGCGTGCGTGCTTCTGAGTTTGTGCGTATGTGTGCGTTTGTATGTGTGTGTGTGTGTGTGTGCGTACAGTGAACCAGCACATTGGATATTGTTTCAAAGAGTAGGAAGTCAGAACCTAACTTGGGGCTAAGTTTCTCTGATTGCTGCCGATCCCAAGGGGCCAGAGGTGAAAAACTGAGAATCACAGTGCAAATTAAAGCAAAATTTGGCACTTAGTCAGTCCAAGCTCATCACGGTATGGGCTATGTATAAACATTTGCCTAAAATATATCCTCCAAAAACTCCATTGCATTGTCAATTTCCGAACTTATCTATACTTTATATACTTTATTATTGTTTAGCAACCTGGATTTGAACATTGTCAGAGAAGAAGCCCGTCTCACATTTTCGGCAAGACACATGTATTCACATTATAAAATCCATTTGTGAACCACACTTTTGACTACCTTCAGTGCATTCTAAAACAGAATGTCTCCCTACTATTGTTGCCTTGTCCCTGTCCATGTTGTGATTTTCTCTTTTGCAGTGGTCTGATATTGCCTATTTGAGGTTTTTCTGTGTTGCCTTTTCCTTGGTTGATCTTGTTAGTCGCGCTGCCTTTTCTTTTAAGCATTCCACAAATTTTAGGAACAGAAGAACATAAAAACAGAAGATGGATGTGACCATCAACAGAGACGAGGGGGCTTTCACCTTGGCTCACACTTGGGATTCTGTCAATGCTGATTTTAAACTTGTCGAACCTGGACAAAATCACACACACAAACAGACATAGTTTAGGTGTTCCTTTTACTTGTTGCCCAGTCCAAGGAGACTTGTCCTCACAGAGACAGAGCACAGGGCTCTGGGTCCTAGAGGGCAGATCTGAACTCAACAGATCGTAACTTACTTTTGGTAGACAAGACACAACTTCATCATATGTATATAAGAAGAAGAACCAACAGAACAAAGGAACAATCAGACAAGACCTTCCTTTTTAACATGTAAAGTAACCCCCATGATTAGTAAACTAAAAAGAAGGAAAGGGTTTACAACCCCCTTCGTCCAGACTGGCAGGAGCCAGAGGTGAAATACACTAAAAATATTTCAGATTACAATGGATTTCAGCCACATATATGATTCGATAAAATGATAATTTAAAACAAAATTTTTATGTCAGATTCACTTCTTCACTTTTGTCTTATTAAAAGAACCTGCTTAGCCTTAAAGGACAACTCACCCTCAAATCCACTTTTTTTTTGCTGATAAACGATATAAATGAGTGTCCAATAGTGTTGTCTACATATCCTGGTCATAATTTTGTCACTTTGGTGCAAATTAGTTGAAAGTTAAACTTTCTGCCTAAAACCGTCTGTGAGGCGCCATCTGCTGGCGACCTGTATTACTACATTTGAATTTTGAATCTGGCGCCAACACTGGCGCGGCAGCAAGACCTGACGTCTGAAGCAAGACCTGACGTCAGCAGCCCCCCGCCCAGAGCAATGTAAACGGCCCAGTCTCGTTCACGCCCCCTTTAGTCCTCCAGGCTACGCCCATTTAGAGGAAGATTTGAACAGGAAATGTGAGTGACGTAAGCTCCGAGGAGCGGGGGTGAGAACCACTTTAAACGAGCATTTTGTACAAATCTGGCCAAAAGTGATACTGCAGTCACAGTCCATATTTTGTAGTCCTCTCCCACTCTCCCTGACTCAGGTTGCCAGATACACACCAAATCCAGCAGCAAACACACAGAATTATTTCATC